AAAAAAAAAAGGTTGAGAATTTAGAGGGTTAATATGTTGTGGGGTTGTTAACCAATGTCATAAAACAACATGTGTACTACTGTTTCACGAGAAACTATTTGTTCTGTAAGCCTTCACCTGAAGTACAATAAAATATAAAAACAAAAACAAAAACAAAAAACCTCAAGACAGTACCACTTCACATATACTAGGATAGCTATTATCAGGAAATAGAAAATTTCAAGCATTGGTGAGTATGTGGAGAAATAGGAACCCTCATCCATTGCTGGTGGGAATGTAAAATCATATATACACCATGGAAAATAGTTAGATGGTTCCTCAGAAAGTTAAACATAGAATTACCACATGACTCAGCAATTCCTCTGTTAGGTATATATCCCAAGCAGAGACTAAAACAGATGCTTCCAAAACAATGTTCATTGCGGCATTATTCACAATAGCCAAAGGCTGAAACAAACCAAGCATCCAGCTACAGCTGAATGGGTAAACAAAGTGTGATATGCACATACAATGTAGCATTATTCAGCCATAAAGAGAAATGAAGACCTGGTACCTGCCACCACATTGATGAACTGTGAAAACATTACATGAAGTGAAATAAGCCAGAGGCAAAACCACAAATATTGTATCATTCTACTGTTATGATCTAAAATAAGCAAATCCATTGAGACAAAAGATCAGTGTTTATCAGAGGGTGTGGGGAGGGGAAAACGGGGAGCTGAAAAAAATTTTTCCACTGCCCAGGTGGGGAGAAATCACAGCACATAGGTAGTTAACTCCACTATTCATCTACTCCTGGGTTACCATTTATGCATGATCAGTTATTGAAGTTGATGGCACTGATTGTTTATACACATAAATAATGCTAATATTTCCCTATCCTCTTCGTCATTCAATAAACTGTACCAAAGTTACATTCTTGTTGTAGGATCTATATTTTTATTTATTATTTCTTATGATTCCATATTTCTAACAGTGGGTTTAATTACAGACCTAGGAGCGTTATCTTTGAGAATCAGCTTCAGATCCCAAGTAGGATTGTATTGATGCATTGGATTTGACCCAAAAACTCATCTTCAGGGAAGTGCAGGTTCTTTTCAGCTCTACTCTTACATTTTCCCTTGCTTAGTCCGTGCAGTACCATCTCAAGGCATACCTTTGCTCACAACCTTCCAGGAAATGGTGGCATCTCATGCCTCCTGGAGGCTCCTGGAGGCATTATGCCTTCTCATTTTACAGATATTTCAGTGGGCTGTAGGTCAGAGAGAATGACAGAGAGCTTTATCTGGCCATCTCTGTCACACCAAACTTGTGTTTGCATTATGATGCTATTTAGAATTTCAAAATCAAATGGAGATTATTTCTTAACTCAGGAAGGTTGTACCTGAGCTTTTATGAATATCTTAATATCAGACAGATATTCATTTACTAGAACCATGATTCACAGATAATTTACTCTAGCCATCCACTGTGTACTACTCCTAACAAATTCTTAGAATTCTTTCACATAGAGCATTTATTTTTTTAAGAAAGCTTTCCATTCTTTAACTTTTTTAATGTAATGTACAATACTATTTCAAATTATGGTAGAGCACATTCAGATATGCTTGGATTTGACAAGTTGCTGTTACAATACTGAGAAATTTCGTGAAAAAGATATTTAACCATTTATGAGATAAATATCTTTTTACCAAATAGGCCAACATATTAATAGTAGCATGTTTAAAAATGCAGTCTTTTGGACCTCAAATTATTATAAAAGAACAATCAAGGTTATATAGCTATACTTTCTGAATCATGCAAAATTGTTCCATTTTGAAGGCTGACGGTAAATGTTGCATAGTAGAATGCTTCATGAGACTACTTCTCTGTTGCACTTACCTGTAAAAGTCCAAAAACGAAACCAACAGTTTTCTAAAGATATAGTGTCGTAGTCGTCTAGTGCTTCTGTAACAGAAATACCACAAATGGATGGCTTTAACAAAGAAAAATTTATTCTCTCACAGTCTAGTAGGTTACAAATTCAAATTCACGGTGTTAGCTCCAGGGAAAGGCTTTCTCTGTCAGCTCTGGAGGAAGGTCCTTGTGATGCATCAGTCTTCCCTTGGTCTGGGAACATCTCAGCGCAGGAATCTCAGGTCCAAAGGATGTGCTCTGTTCCTGGCACTGCTTTTTTGGTGGTATGAGATCCCCAACTCTCTGCTTGCTTCCCTTTCCTTTTATCTCTTGAGAGATAAAAGGTTGTGCAGGGCACACTCCAGGGAAACTCCCTTTACATCGGATCAGGGATGTGACCTGGATAAGGGTGATGTTACAATCCCACCCTAATCCTCTTTAATGTAAAATTACAATCACAAAATGGAGGACAATCACAGAATACTGGGAATTATGGCCTAGACAAATTGATACACACATTTTTGGGGAGGACGTAATTCAATCCATGACATATAGCTATTTCTAGAATACATTAGTGTAATCAAAAATGACTACTAGAACTAAAGTATCACTTTATATTAAGAATCTTCACCACAATACATCTTCCCTAAAAAGGCAAAAAACACTGTGAATTTGGATTTCCCTTATTGAATTTAACATAGTAGAACCTCATACTTTCTGGCTTTAATAAACTTCCAACTCTTTTTCCAGTAGGAACTATCTACATAGCACAGTGCTACATAAAATTATTCCAGTGAAATATGTATTTAGATTCACAATGTGATCAACACAATAGTGTCATACAAAGTTTCTCTGTAGGTGCAAATGTTAAGAAAGGCCACGGTGGACAGTGCCAGACACTGTGAATACAGTAGGTTACAGGTACCACTGCAGGTCAGAGGAGACCATAAATTTCAAAAGTTTTTTTTAGCAATGGCAAAAGAAAAACATACAGAGAAACCTAAGA